ACGCATAGATTTTATTCTTTTGTTCTACTTTTTCATGAACGTTTCTTCTACATGTATCTGATATATATGGAAAAAAGAATTACTGCCTATATATGCAGAACTTGTAACTCACAGGATTTCTAAACTAAAAGACTTTTCTTAATAGGTGTGAAGTGAAATTCTGCAAGTAGCTGCATCCAGGAACTTCAGAGTTAAACCAGTATCTCAGTATAATCTGTCGCTGCTATAGTTTCCTTTCTTTGACCTCCAAACCTTATATTGAAATTTGACCCCCAATGTTGAAGGCGGAACCTAATGGGAGGTATCTGGGTCATGGGGGCAGATCCCTCATGAATAGCTTGGTCATCAATGAGTGAGTTCTCACTCTATTCGTTTCTGGGAGAGCTGGTGGTTAAAAAGAGTGTGCCATGTCCCTTCTCTCTCTTTTTGCTTCCTCTCTCTCCAGTGATCTGCCCACGCCAGCTCCCCTTCATTTTCTGCCGCGAGTGGAAGCAGCCTGAGGCCCTCACCAGAAGCAGATGCTGGCACCATGCTTCTTAGACAGCCTGCAAAGCTGTAAGCCAAAGAATTCTCTTTTCTTTATAAAGGACCCAGCCTCAGGTATTCCTCTATAGCAACGCAAATGGACTAAGACACTTGTGCTTCCTTTCATTAGCTATTTCAAGCTCAAAATTTACGAGACTGTTCCAAAAATTAGGGCAGGATCTTGTCATTGTGAACTTACAACTTTCTGTCTGAAGCAAAAGGTCCTAACCCCAAACCGTAATTTGAAAGGTGCCTCTACTCCAACTTCATTACCCTTCAACTGCCTCTTCTCTGCCTCCCACTCCCCTCTTACTCAGCAAAAGACAAATGAGTTTAGGCTGGGCATGGTTAACCATCATTCTCAGAAAAACAAAATCCTGCTGTTTGGTATTCTCACTGAGAATCCCTTCACTTAGCTTATGGATCCCCCTCCACAGATTCCTGACAGCTCACTGGGCCAGGGAACCAGCCAGATTTTTTAGCTACATCTGCAGTATCTTTTCTACTCCAGCAGCTGGCATAAGGTGGGAAAATTCATTAACATGCTAATGATGTCCTACTTAAAATTCTAGCCCTGATTATTCTGTGATTAAATCTCTCCCCTTGACGTCGGTTTCCTTTATAGCTGAGTTACAGTGCGAAATCAACAATATTAATAAAGTACAATACAGATTACCAATTTATACACAAGGGATGGTGGAAAACAGTTGCATAAATCTGAGGGCTCTTTTTTTCTTGAAAAGCAGTTGTAGGCCTGGCGCGGTGGCTCACGCTTATAATCCCAGCACTTTGGAAGGCCTAAGCGGGTGGATCACCTGAGGTCAGGAGTTTGAGGACAGCCTGGCCAACATGGTGAAACCCCGTCACTACTAAAAAAAAACAAAAATTAGCTGAGCATAGTGGTGGGCACCTATAATCCCAGCTACCTGGGAGGCTGAGGCAGGAGAATCGCTTGAACCTGGGAGGCAGAGATTGCAGTGAGCAGAGATCGCACCATTACACTCTAGCCTGGATGACAAGAGCAAAACTCCGTCTCAAAAAAAAAAAAAAAAAGCAGATGTAGCGAACTATAAAAGTTGCTGATTTTTTTCATTCCACCCTTCTTTAAATAAACACACACATTGGAATCCACAATAATTAAATGTTTATAGTTAATTTCCATAAATATTTAAGGCTTGGAAGATAGATTTAGCTTTTCCTTCTATTTCACTGCACTTAACATTGCTCAGAATTCAAATGCATTATCCTGAAGTCTCAAGAACAGCTGACAGGAGTTAAAGCACACTTCTTTATCATCTCTTTATAGAGATTGTGTCTTGGTGACAAAAGCCAATGGATTCAGTGATGAGATCTGTCTCCCTTTGCCCTTGAGTACCTTGGCATATTTCAGTTCCTTTTCTATCACCATATTATTCTATCTGCTGACACTCCAAACTGAAAGTCCGACTCAGACAACTCAAACATCTTCCAAGAAAGACAAACTTATCACTACCCTCATTAATTTAGAAAATGAATAAAGAAGCAGCAGATTCAAGGTCTGGATCTGCAATCTAAAAGGTAGGAAGAGAGGACTCGTGTCATTTTAACATCTGGCCCCAGTAAGTGAACAAATATCGATGGTATAGTATATTCACTATTTCAAAAGACATCATGCTGGATACCAAAGCAGTACAGTGAAACCTAAGGACGATGTTCTGACCTCAGTGGACTCATAATCTAGCCAGAGACACAAGATACAATGATATTTTAAGTGATGCGCGCAGCAAATTCATCTCAGGTGCATCATGAGATGCATCATTAAGAGGTCTCTGCATGAGAGACACTGCTCATTGTTCCCTAAGACTGCAAATCTCCCCTTTTGCTACGGAAACAGAATTCAGTACTTCAGCAGGGCACACTGCTGCCCAGGGTAAGGACAGTTCCCAGCCCCTCTTGCAAGTAGCTGTTACCATATAACAAGGTTAAGGTCACAGGGATGTGGCCGTAGCAGAGATGTGTGCAGATTTCTTAAAGGGCATGTAAAGGGGAAAGGTGAGCTCTCTTCCTTCTTCGTTTTTTTCTGACTGGACTTGGACATGCATGTGGCTGGGTCAGCCGGGTGGGACTGAATGGCACAAGTTGTGGGTCAGAGAAGAACAAAATAGAAGAGTCTGAATTCCCGACAATCAGGGTGGCTTGATTATACGTCAGTTGCCCTTTTCCCCTGAACGCTGCATTCCACAACCACTGTTGGAAATCAAAATATTTTTTAAGAATACTACATATTGCTCATTTCTTAAATGGTTTCATTCTCTAAGGCTAAAAAGAGTCATGGTACATGCACGCATATGTGTATGTGCGTAAGCACACTCTCCTTTGTACTTTCCCTACATTTAAACTTGAACCCACAGCTCCCTCTGAATTTTTAACTCCCAAAACACAAAAATAGCTGAATATGGACTTTGGCCCAGTTTTATCATATTTTAATAAATAAAAGCTTCAATATATTGAAGAGTTCATTATTTATTTGTTTCCCACCCTCTCAACCCTAGATTATTAATTTGGTTCATCTAAAGCCTACTCACCTCAAATTGGTTAAAAAAAATTAAGCATGTGTAAATCAATGTATAGGGAAAAGGGTGGCTGATCCAGCAAAATCCAAGTGTAAAAACATAAAGAGAAGCTTCACAACAGTAATGAGCCATCTGCAATTTAGAATCATCCATAGTAGCAATCTCTCATTCCATTTGTTTATGTTTTATTCATCATTGTGAAAATACTTAGTGAAGTGACAATGATGAGATTCAAAAAAAACTGCACGGTTCTTTTTTTAAAAAGAGATATTGATGGCTTTCAAGGCTCTACTATTCAAATGAAAATATTGCTGGACTAAATTTGCTCAAATTTGTTCACTTCCTCTTTATTCTTGGATATAATATATTCTTCATTTTGTGACAAAAAGTTATGTGGTGATAACATAAGAAATGTCGTAGTTTCCATTGTTTATACATTTAAAAACTCAATAGCAGAAACCTACTTAAAATGTACAGTCCTCATTCCTATTACGACAGAGTAAACCAGGCTGTGGTGTCTCAGGTGACCATGTTGTCATTCCTTAGTACTATAGTTATTTAGGCTCAAACGTACAGTCTGTAATTACATATATGGCAAAAACAACGCTTGACCTTTAAGAATGAAAAGAAAAAAAGATAAGTACTGAGTTGTTAAAGTCAACTTCAGGGTATTCATTACAAAGAAGACAGAATAACTACTGAACATACTCTTTGATGCAAATATCTCTGTGAAGAAACCTCTCTCTACATAAATTGATAGGCATTTAAAAAAAAAATTTATTCATCCTGAATTGATGCACTTAACTTCAGCTATTTTATATTTCTCAATCTAGCTTATAACTACTACTCTTCATTTACTTCAATTTACGGAATATTTACAAAAGCCCTATTTCAAATCTGGTTCCCATCAGCCCCGCTCTTTTCTTATGTCTTCTTAAATAAGCATACTTTGTAAAATATAGCTGTTTATTCATATATATTTCATTCAACTTTTTTAGTAAATAACATTTATTTAGGAACCATAGTATGCTATAAATGACCCCTGACTTTTAGTTTCTAGGGGCAATGGAAAGGCACACACACACATACACACACACACACACTCCAGGATCTTTGTAAATTAATCTGTACCAATCTGCCTAGGAGATAGATTTTATTCTTGTCATTTTACTGGTGCAGAAACAGGTTCCAGTATTTAATAAAGATTAAATCTGAATTTGCTTTTAATGATTGTATTCTGTATATTAGAAACTGAATCATCAGAAATTCCTTACATGTTTTAAGAAGTAAGTTTTTACTATCTCAATTTGCACTGAACCAGCGCCTTCTGAGACCATCCCTCTGGGTGCAAATCTCAGAGTAACCTGTTACTCTTAACAACTGGAAAAGGAAAGAACTCAGGACACTTGAACTCCTCTGACCAGCAGACACTTTGGCTAAGGCAGCATTTACATCTTCGACACCATCTTGCCTGGGGAAAGCAGCTCTCAGAAAAGCGCACACATAGAAGAGCCACTTTGTGGTCTTTCCTCGATTTTCTCAGATCAACCTGATTTAGTCTATGATTGTGTAGACTAGGAGACTGAGCCAAGAGACAAAAGGAAGATAATTGTCACACAAAGAAAACGCTCAAGACCTTGCCGAGAGAGACTGCCCTAAATAATAACAAGGCTATTAGCAAATGCAGGGTGGGACGGGGAACAGAAAAAGGAAAGATGTCACATGTGAATATGAAAACAAAAGCTGACAAGTAATTCCATTCAGTTTGCCAAGGCGCCTGCCAAAAACGTCCCCAAGGAAAAGGGCCATGTGCTCCGTGACGCTCTTCACGGTGACGTTCACATAAAGCACAGAACATCCTGCCCAGCCACAAAACACAACAAATATCAACATCTTGCCGAGGAACAGTTGTACACTACCTACCATAGGCAGTCTCCTGGTGCTCCACTTCTCTTCTCAGTCTGTCGTAATCTTCTTTAACACTTCCCAGCTTTTTGACATTCCTGGAACTCAACACCAACAGCTTGCTGAGAAGTCCCTCCAGCCCTTCTCTCTCTGATGTTAATGATCTAATCTCCTCGGTGAGGTCTTTAGCTGTACAGAAATGGTTTCCTACAGCACATTGTGGGAGAGAAGGAGGGAAAACAAGCTTTACAGCATCCGCACACATGGAAGATCTAGCAGCAGCTAATGTACATTCACAGCATGGGCAAAGAAACAGAACTTTGAGATCATGTACAACTTCCTTAGCAGTCCTCTGGGGAAAGAACATGGAAAAATACTGCCCTCCTTAAACTGGAAAAATCACCAGTCTTTTTTATCACCTTATTCTTGTTATGTCTGTTTTAGGAGTTCCATTGGCTAAGCCATGTCCCATGAAATATGATGACACAAAAATGTCCCAGTGGAATCCAGAGGAAACACAATGTGTCACTCCGTTCAAATAATATACAAATGTCAAAGAGATGACATATTATGGCAGTGTGGAAGGGGACTGGGCCATATAATCAGAGTTGACCTAAATTAAATTCCTCCCCTGTTACTCAAATTACACGACCTGGAGCAAGAAAATTAGCACATCTAGGGCAAATTTCTTATAAAATATGATTGCAATAACACCTGACTCATAGGTAGTTACAAGAATAAACAAGAATTTCCGTCAAGCACTGAGCAAAAGATATGGTAAATTAAATGCAGCAAGGTTGCAGCATACAAGGTCAATATACAAAAATCAATCTTATGTTTCAATATCAACAACAAAAAACTAGAAGATGATTTCTTAAAAAAATACAATTTACAAACTATTTTAAAACTCAAAATACTAACGGATACTTTTTTTAAATATGTGCAAGAGCTCTACAGTGAAAACTATTTTTCAAAAACTGCTGAGACAAAGACAAATAATTTAAAAGATTAAATTATTATACATACACTGGAGGTTCAGTATTGGTAAGATTTCAGTTTTCCCCACATTGATTCATTGATTTAATACAATTCCAATCAAAATTTTATGAGGCTGTTTTGTAGAAATGTGTGTGCTTATTCTAAAACGTTGAAGAGTGAGCCGGGCATGGTGGCTCACACCTGTAATCCCAGCACTTTGGGAAGCTGAGGTGGGTGGATCTCTTGAGGTCAGGCATTCAAGACCAGCCTGGCTAATGTGGCAAAACCCTATCTCTACTAAAAATACAAAAATTAGTGGCACAGTGGCAAGCACCTGTAATTCCAGCTACTAAAGAGGCTGAGGCAGGAGAATCGCTTAAACCCGGGAGGTAGAGGTTGCAGTGAGCTGAGATCTTGCCACTGCACTCCAGCTTGGGCAACAGAGTAAGATTCCATCTCTAAATAAATAAATGAATAAAATGTAGAAGAATGAGCCCATGAGTTTGAAGCTGTAGTACACTATGACTGCACGATTGCCTGGGCAACATAGCAAGGCCCCATCTCAAAGAAGAAGAAGGAGGAGGAGGAGAAGGAGGGAGGGAGGGAGGAAAGGAAGGAGAAGAAGAAGATGAAGAAGAATAAGAATAGGAAGAAAGAAGAGAAGAAGCAGAAGAAGAAGCAGAAACAAGAAGAAGAAGAGGAAGAAGGAGGAGGGGGAGGAAGAGGAGGAGGAAGAAGAAGAAGAGAGGAGAGAGGAAGAGGGGGAGAAGGAGAAAGAGGAAGAGGGGGAGGAAGAGGAGGAGGAGCGGTCTAGGTAAACCAAAGCAATCCTTAAAAAGTTAGTCTAAGACTAAGGCTAAAGCCACTATAAATCAAGGTCATATGGCATTGCATATAGATGGACAAATAGATCGATGGAATATAATAAACAGTCCAGGAGTGGATTTACACATATACAGCCAACCAAAGTGCCAAAGCAAGTCAATAAGGAAAAGAAAGTATTTCAACAAATGGTGCTGGAACAACTAGCTATTCACCTGGGAAAAATATTAACCTTGATTCATACCTCAAACCATACAAAAATTTATTTAAAGGTGGATCACAGGCCCAAATGTAAAAGTTAAAACTATAAAGCTTCTACAAAAAAATAATAAAAGAATATTTTATTGACTTTGGAGTAGGCAAGAACTTCAGATAAGATACAGAAAATACTATTTAAAAAAGGATAAATGGGCTTTATCAAAATTAAAAACTCCTCATCAAAAGATACCACTAAAAAAATGAGAAAACAAGTCACAGACTTGAAGAAAATCATTGCAATATGTCTAACTGACAAAGAAGTTGAATACTACAACTCAACAATTAAAACACAAATGGTGCCATTGAAAAACAAGCAAATGAGCCGGGCGCGGGGGCTCACGCCTGTAATCCGAGCACTTTGGGAGGCCAAGGTGGGCGGATCACGAGGTCAGGAGATGGAGACCATCCTGGCTAACGCAGTGAAACCCCATCTCTACCAAAAAACAAAAAATTAGCCAGACGTGGTGATGACTTAAAAGCCATTTTACAAAGTAAGACACACAAATGGCCAATAAGCATATGAAAAAGCATTTGACATCATTAATCATTAAGAAAAGAAAAATTAAAACCATAATGATTCCACTACAAGCCCAATCAAATGTTCCAAATTAACTCAACTAAAAATGTCAACATTCACAAGGGTATGGAGCAACTGGAACTCTCACACATGTAAAATGGTCCCTTCAAGAAAAGTTCTGCCAGTTTCTCATAAGGTTAAATGTATACCTACCCTTTAATCCAACAATTCTACTTCTAGGCATTTACACAAAAGAAATGAAAACACGTAATCAAAAATATTTGCACTCAAATAAATGTTCATAGTGTCTTTATGCCTGAGAGCCTGTCCCAAACTGGAAGCAACCTAAATGTGCATTAGCAGGAAAATGCAAAAAGAATAATAGAGCTATACAATGAAAGACTACTCAGCAATAAAAAGAAACAAACCCTTCATGCTTGCAGTAACATGTATGTGTTGTTGGTTTTTTGTTTGTTTTTTTTTTTTAGATGGAGTTTTGCTCTTGTTGCCCAGGCTGGAGTGCAGTGGCGCAATCTCAGCTCATTGCAACCTCCGCCTTCTGGTTTCAAACAATTCTCCTGCCTCAGCCTCCCAGATAGCTGGGATTACAAGTGTCCACCACCACGCCCAGCTAATTTTTGCATTTTTTAGTAGCGACAGGGTTTCACCATGTTGACCAGGCTGGTCTCAAACTCCAGACCTCGTGATCCGCCCACCTCGGCCTCCCAAAGTGCTGGGATTACAGGCGTGAGCCACCACGTCCTGCCAACATATATGTGTCTTTACAAAAGACGCAAAAGAGTAGTGCCACATGATTCCATTAAGTTTTAGAACAGGCAAAATTAATCCATGGTAGAAGGTATCAGAATAAAGGAGGGATGATGATGACTGGGACAATACAGGGTATTGTTTCTTGAGTGATGAAAATGTTCTATCTCTTGATAGGGCTGGCTGTCTGTAACACAGGTGTCAAAATTCAAGATCTGTAAACACTTAAGACCTGTGCATTTCATTGAATGTAAACCATACCTCAATTAAAAAGAGGAAAAATTAGGAAATTTTAAAGTATGAACACTGAACAATAAATTACTAAATATATAACATTAATGAGTGCCCCACAAATCAGTGTTAGAAAACCCCACTATGTTTTCTAAGAATTTATAGTAACCATAATCACAATAATAGCTACAAACTTTCTCACCTTTGAATGTCATCACAACTTTAGGAAATAGGTTATAGCTTATATTATTATTACTATCATTATTATTATTTTACATTTTAACATCTCTGAAACAGGGATATGCCCTACAATCGTCAAGAGCCAGGAAGAAGCAGGATGCAGTGGTTATAACTGGATTGTTTTCCTGGACCTGGCTGACCATCTGCAACCTCCTGGTGTTTCAATGTACAAACTATTTTAGGACCATTTGCGTACTGGCTGTTGCCTGAAAATCTTGTGTTGATGTGGATTTGTAAGACTGGGAAAGCACCAGCATTCAAAACTTGAGGAAAGGTGTCAGCAGTTTGGCAGACAATCCTACAGAAAACAGTTTATTCTTGGGGGAGAAAAAGTTGCCTCCCAACAACTTCAGGGGTTCAGAGGATGATGATGTGTGGGGAAACACGAATCTCGACAACTTTGAGTCCAAATGTGCTTCAGAAGACTCAGACTGAATAAGAAGACGCCTAGGAAAACCTTAACCAATTTATTTTCCTTTTTAATGGGTGATATGTGATTTTTCAAAAGCCTAAATACATCCAAAAGAGCTAGATCCGTAAGTCTAAGATAAAAGTTCTAAACCATAGAAAGCACTGTTACTGTTTAATTGACAGCAATGTTTCTTTCTTTGTAATATATAAAATAACGGGTGCTTTTTATGTTCACTGAAATTCATATTGTTATCTCTTTTTACAGCTGGGAAAACGGAAATCTGGAGAACTAAAATATCTTGCTGAAGATCACAGTGCAGTAAACCATAGGACAAGTTTCCAGCTGGAACATCACCCCAGAGCCCCTCCTCTTAAGCATAAATTATGTTGCTAGCTTCTTTATTGTTACTTAGTAGGCAGACTTCAAACTGATACCAATGTTGAAAATGATACAAAATGTTTTCCCACCTTAAGGCCATTCTGAAGCCTAGCACATATCATCTGTCACTGAAGTCCATAGTTTCCAGTGCCATGATTTTATAAAGACCCTATTGAGACTCATGCGTTTGTCTCTCACTGTTTTACGCAACATGGCAAACACAAAAGAGAACAAGTACTGCTCCTGCTCTCCAGGAAGTTACCACAAAATAAAGGGGAGAAGGTGCCTTCCAAAGAAAAAGCAAACACTAGGAGAGGTCAGAGGAGAAGAGAGATTATTCCAGGACAGACTGAGGCAGATTTCAGGAGGGAAGAATATAAGAGTCCCAAAAGAAGAAATAAGAGCCCTGGTTAGAGAGCAATGGGCAGGGGGCAGGAGGTGAGACTAAACTCACAAGGAAGTTGCTTCAAAACAACAGTGCCCCAAATGCCACGCTGCTGGGTTGGACCCATTTAGGAAAAACCCACAAAGTCCACAGGAGAGCAGACCGCACTTCCATGAGCTTCAAGTTGTAAACAGTAACACAAATAAAACTTTTCCTGG